TGGTTTGCGTTGTGAACTTTGACAAGTCTTAGACTCCAGATGCTTTAAAGCAATATGTTCTAATATGTTCATGCATTATTACTACTGTTGCAGTGTGATTTATTACTGTAGAAAAATATCACAGTTGTAGATGTAACATCCAGTGGATCTTTGAACAAAATATCAGCAGGTACTATGGTCATTCTCTAATTGTATCTTTGAAGGTATTTTCTTTTGCTATTTAAAAACTGATGTGTATCAGGGGCTTTGTCTACTGCAAGTAGGGATTTTTCACATCTGCATATTCATTTAGGGAAGATGATTGGTGTTCTTAATTGAAAATGAGAACTGGTAGAACTTTGGATTGTTTATTATTTTTGCTTTATGCTGTTCAAGCATAGTTGCCCAGCAATTCTAATTCCTAATGAACAATATTGTATAAGGGCTTGGGAATCTAATTCCATTTCAAGATGTGCAGAAAACTGAGAGTATTTCAGAAATTCAGGAATCCTATTCAGGAATCAGTGAAAGGTTTTAGGAATGCCAGACCAACAAACTTGTACTACAGAATACAGAATTACATACTTCTTGATGAAGAGGAGTTTTTCGTATCTGAGAAGAGGCTCAAGTGCTGCCAGGCAGACAGACCAGTTAATTGGTTTGTATGAGACTGAGTGAAATGATGGTTGAAGAGGATGCTGGTTGACTGTAGACTGGTAACAAGCAAGTTTACAAGGAGTGTATATGAAATTACCAAAAAGGAATCCACAAGCCTTTCCAAAAGGAAGTAAAAATTTCCCTCTTGAGGACTTTTGGACAGGCGTTTCCAGTTGTTTTCTCTGTAAATAATTCTGCTTGAAAATGCAAAAATATCTTAAGAATATCAAAGCAGTATGATTCAACTGGATACAGAGAAGGACTTGCATCAAAATTATTTTGCTCCAAGTCAAATGCTTGTTGTCGACATGCCCATTGAAGCCCAGTGCATACCATGTAAACACCATGCCACTACTCTAGGGAAGATGAAAAAAGTAGCTGGAAGGTTTATTTCAAAACTTCAAGACAAATCACAATTTGGATGTGTTTTTAATTAATTTTAAAATCCATTTTTCCTTGTTCCTAATTACAAACAACTCAGAAGAGTAAATATTCCCTGAATATGAAGTAATGGTTTTTGATTAGATTGTATGAACCTGGATGAAAAAGAAAAGCCTGTAAAAAAAATAAATATTTAAACTTACTTTAACTTTTCTCAGAACTTTGATTTTTTACCTGTTTTAAATGTTAGAATAGGTATAAAGAGTATGGGATCAGTGTTTCTAGGATTTACTCCCACAGGCCATTTACCTAAAGTCTAATTGGTACTTTCATGGATTTTCATGTTGGCAAGATCAGACCTCTTTTAACACACTGATGCTTTCATTTGACAGGAGTATTATGCTATAAAATACATACCAAAGGCATATTTTATCATCTATTCTGAGTATATGTGCATGCTAAATGCACTGCATATGTATTGTATATATGAAGCTACATTTTATTTACACACGCTACAGATGATACAAGTATCAACCTTTTGACGATAGCTGTGCAATATAAACTTACAGATTAGCAGTAGAATACTTATTAAGCTGAGCAACAAATGAGTAATTATTATGTATGAATTTAAGTAATGCATTTTTAGGGACTTTCAAGTTCTTATTTACGTAACTGTTAGAGCCGAGTACTTCTGCAACTAGAAAATTGACATTTTCCCTTCAAAGTGAAGGAACAAATTTTCATCCACTGGGATAAAGAGGACTTTTGAAAGGATGCTTGAATGCTTTCTAACGTGTTGCAGGGAAAACTGGCCTATGGCTTGCCATTCTAAAAGAATCAAATATATAGTGCTGGTATACAGTTAATAAGTTACAAAAGCAAACTTTACTATGACTACAAAAAAGGAACACAGGAAAAAAGATAAAATGGAAATGCCTGAAGAGAGAAGATTATTAGGAAAGTGTAGAGGACCCAGAGTCATGAGTGATGCAGTAATACATGAGAGCCTGTTTATGTAATAGGGAAATGCCAGTTTACCTACTTCTGGTTGTAAATGAATTACTGCAAGAAGGAGTGTAAGGGGAGAGAGTAAGCCATCCGGCGATAAGGTTCACAGAGAGATGTCTTCCTGCAAAATCTAGTCAGCTAAAAATAATTTAAATTTTTTAAATGGGCATTGAGCAGAAAATTAAGTAATTCCCAAGATATGAAAACTTTCTGTCTGTGGAATTTACTAGTGCAAAAAGATTATAAGGCATAAATGAACTTTAGACAGATTTCTTAGGCCTTTGTTTGCTTCAGTAAAAAAAAAAAATCATTATTCTGAAAAAAAGTGTCAATTTTTTTGATTTTTAGTAGGCTGTGGTCTATTAAATATCCTCAGTTTTAGTGTGTCCACCTCAAAATACTCTATAGGCTGCATGGAATAAAACAAATCCTGGGAAATGCAAACCATGCATCCCATAGTATCCTTCCCATGGAATCTAAAACAACTTCTGAGTTATATCAAATTTGAATGGTAGCTGGGTACTACATTTTGTTTAAAGTCAATCCATTTTACTTTTACAATTTCATTCCACTCATTTAATTTTTAAAATTTATCTTAATTCAGACGTGGTTTTAGAAAAGAGGAGTATGTTCTAAATGTGAGCTATCAATCCATTGAATTGGAAGCATTTACTGAGTATTGAAGTGTCTGTGCCCAAAAGCACATAGACTTCTTGTATCTTCTTGCAGGGTAAATTATCATCCCTGATAAGAGAGTCTGCTGCTTGAACTTAACCTGGATCTGTTCCCCTTGATTATTATTATCAGTGAATGTCCCATTGTAGCAGGAAACTTGAGCTGCTCTGATAGAAGCAAGTGTCCTCAGTTTGACATGCTCTGTTGTGACATTTCTGTGTCACTGAAACATGGACATGTTAGACTTCTTGTTTAAGTGAAGGTTATACCCTTGATTCTTTCCCCACTTGATGTATTGTTTTTGTCTGCTTCTTTCTAAGTTGGCTCAGAAGGGCATGGATGCCTACCAAAACTTTTTTCTTCTGGGCTGGATGTTAAGAAATCTGTAAGTGAAGCTCAGTTAATCCCTTTGATCCCTCTTTGCTGCTGCATCCATGAGACCTTATCCTAACCCTAGCACTGTAGCTGAGTTATCAAAAAACATCACATTGTCAGCCTCAGTCACTTTGCTGATCTTTGTGAAGAGAATACGATTCTGCAGGCATCCACAAAGCTGAATGGCAAGCACCAGGAGCATGTTGGGTATTGCATATTATTTCCTATATATCATATATGATCTGAAAAGCAAAGACTGTATGTACTATATGAAGAAAGAGTAGAAAGAAATGGTGATCAATGGCTGCCAGTTCTTACATGTGCATAGGGAAATTGAGAATAGCAAACCTGGGCTAGGTCTGGAAAAGAAAAAGGGAACTGCACCTTTGTATTTTCTTGTGATTTGAAGAAAAAGGTGATGTTCTAAGATGAACTGGGTGGCTAGTTTTCGAAACAGAAACATGGGACACAGTAGCTTGAGAAAAAAACTGCTTTTCCAAAGCAGAGCATATTTTTTATCTTTGCTGGTCATTAGAAGTGCTTCTGAATACCAGCCCTTCATGGAGGAAGTCATGCTGGAATACTCTGAGCTGGTGATGATTTGAAACTTCACCCAGCATGTAATAACTCTGAGTAATTGGTAGGTATGTGGGCTTCAGGGACAGTGATATTTTTGCACCTTTGCCAGTTTAATCACAGTGTTTTGTGGAAGACAGTGCAGCCAAATGAGTGCTAGAATGCACTGGAACAGGAATTTTAGTGCATAAGGTGTGTTTAAAACACTTATTCAATGTACAGCAGGGTTTAAAGTGAAATAGGTGTGTGTGGCTGACAGGTCTTGTTTTTAGATACTGTCTCTTTCAAAAAACTTTTCTTCTGGTAGGTTTTTGGAGTCATTCTTATGGCAAGGACATGGAGAGTGGGTTCAGAGGTGCAGCCTGTGTACTGATAAGCAGTTACTAGAGCGTGAAGAAAGAATACCTGATTTTAGAAATGTGGTATGTGTTACATTTATACAAAGGGAAGCTTAAAAAACCATTAACTTTATTGCAGCGTACACAGTGATAATGACACCAGTTCTGAAATGCTGGTTTTATAAGTATAATTTATTATGCTTTCTTTGATCCAGTGTTACAAATTAGGATCACTCATGTCAGGAGATTAAAACCTTTTTGTCTCTCTTTGATATCAAGCTATTCTTTCCCAGTACCTTTTATCTTGCATAGTAGTGCTGAATTCCACAACATCTTTGTCAGTTTGCTTGTGTTACTTGCAGCAATCATTTAATTTGTTTTAGAACTGATATTATTTAGTCATACTGTCATTTGCAACAACAGAGGCTCTTTAATATTATAAAAATGTTGAGAGGCTTTGGTGTTAGCTGAGTAAGCATATGAATAAGAGAGAAGAGAGAAGAATTTTGGGACCATGGTGAGCGTGCAAGATAGCTAAATTGGATAGAAAAAGAAAAAACCTATACAAGTCAAAGTGAGATTGTACATCAGAAAAACTACAGCAATCTACTGAAAATTAGTAGATGATAGTCATGAGAACCTTACAGTGAACCACAGGTACCAGCTTCCCTGAAGAACTGAAATAGGAACTTGGAGAAGCTTGTAAAAGGTGTCCTCAGGGAATCTTCCATTTTTTCACTATGATACCTTTAATCCTAGAATTGTCAAGCCACATGGAAAATAATAGGACTGAATAGTTCAGTCAGTTAAAAGTTAGTATTATTTTTTTATCAAAAATATTAGGTGTTTCTATTTTTCTGGACCTGTTAAGAATTGTATAAACTTTAAAACAAGTGAAGTCAAGTATTGAATCTGTATTGCTGTTTCTTTTTAAATTTAAGATCATTATCTCTGACTAAGCAGACTCTATTCAGTAAAAGGAATTAATTTAAATACAATCTTTTTTAACAGATGATTCAACGAGAGGCAGAAGTAAAGAATAGGGTAACTGCTGTGGCGTTGACAGACTCAGTTCACAATGTGTGGCATCAAGAAGTTGGGAAAACTATTCGAGAGTGGATGCGAGAGGTAAGGCCTTTTCTTAAAAATAATTTGAGTATATACATCTGTATATGGCTGAATAAGCATGTCTGGGTGTGAAAGACAGCATAATACAGAAGAGTGGAAATCATGTATCCATACCAGCCACAAAAATAACCAAGATTAAAACCAGCTAGCAGTCAAAATACTAAGCACAAAGTCCAGTGTTTCTTCCTGATGCTCAGCAAAACAGAGTAGCATGCCAAGGCAGCCCATGCAGTGCCTGATAACCTCCAGCAAAGTCCTGGGTGCACCCTGTGCTGCTGGTTTGATCTGGCAATGGTGGAAAATCCCCTTTAAGCTCTTCTTGACTCAGTTTGATGATTTGCACAACTGGCAAAATATCCTTTCTCTCAGGAGCTTTTTGATGTGTAATTACTCCTGTAGCACTCGGAAGCTCTTATACTTAGGTATGGGATTGCTGAGATTTTAAAAATCACGTTTTTAGAGTGAGACCAGCTAAACTACTCTTTATGAGTGTCTCCCTCACCAGATCAAGCTCATATCTGTTTTCTGCGTTCCCGTGGCAGAATACTTAAAACAATAGGTGCACAAAGTGAATTTAAACTAGTCACATCCTTAACTTTCTGTGATACTTGACTTTTTCTCATGGATTTAGTGAAACTTAGTGTGTACAGTGCCTATTCCTGACTTAACCTTAAAGTTTTATAGGCCACACTGATGGGAATAGAGGAACACCTGGGATGCAGCCTGACAGCTCTGACTTAAGAGTTAAAAATATAAAGAATGGTAACCCCTACAGGCTCTGTCAGAGAAATCCCCATTTTCTTTATGGGAAATCAAAACCTTAAAATATGTGCTATGTAGTAAAACTGAAATTTTAAATCCTGTAATTTGAATCTGACAACTCCATTTTTCTTTAAGCATTTAGTCTGAATAAGAAAAGTGCATTACCTTTAATTTCATTTGCAGAAAGTAGATGTTAAAGAATAAGTTAAATGATTAATGGCCTAAAAAGTGGATGGAGTGTCATAACTTACATTAGCATTAAAAATCTCCTATAAGAAAGAAGAATTTTACATATGTGAAGTGTGGCTGAGTGGTATTAAGACTAGCATATCACCTGGATATCTCTTACTTTAATCAGGTTTAAGGCTAGTGGTAAAATGAATAATAATTAAAATATACACCTAATCGCTGCCTGTCTGTAGGGCTAATTGCTGTCATTGAAAGAATGAATTGTTAAAATAAAGTAATTCTTCATTGGAGCTATCTCTCCTGTATCACTGGTGGCCTATTTTTAGTACCTATAGATGTCATGATTTTTGAATTTATTAGGAGCTGTGATGAATGATAAAACAAATCATCCATTTACATATCTTGACACTGCTTTCGAGAATACTTATTTCTTACAGGCAAGTGTCACATTGTATATAAAAGCTAGTTAATTGTGTGCTAATCTGCTGTATTATCTCCAGCTCTCTGATGTAGTGTTCTATCAGTAGTTAATATTAATTTTACTTATTTCAAATGATTGTAATACTTCATAAAAATTCTACTTCTTTTGTAATTTCTACCACCTTACATTTGCAATTTCACATTCAGCTGTTAATTAAAATTACACATGCAAATCATAAAATTATAATGCTTTACTACTTTAAACCTTAAAACCTTCATGAAATACTTCCATTTTAACAATTTTTTACTAAATATGTTATATTACTGGATAGTGTGTTTGTTTTTTTCTTTTTCCATTGAGTTCAATAGTTTCATTGATCTAGTGTTTCTTACAAAAATCTGCCATGCTTTGTGAACTTCACTTTCTAATCTCATACAGCAACCCTTCCTTTATGTTGTCCCTGCTCTCCCTGGTCCCAGAACAGTAGGGTTGCCTTGACAAATCTATTCAAAAGCCATTCCTCGCCCTTTATTGGTGGGGACTGAAGCCTTTGAAATTCTCTCCTCACTGCAACACAGCTGACATCTTCTTCCAGACAGAATGAATTAAGGAAATACAATAAGATACTTGATCTACCAGTCAAGGATCTTTCCACAGTGAGGACGGACTCCATGGTGCACAACTAGGGCAGCAAGCATCTACAAATACACAATACATGCTGTTTACCAGAAGAGAATTCGTCCATTTTTACTATCATGAACTAATGGTATTATTTTTTTAGAAATCTGTCTGAAAATTGTTGGTCTTTCCAAAAAGTTGTGGGGTTTTTTTACCTTTTCCACTTAAATAAGTTAATCTGGTTTTCAGAAAGGAAAAATTCAGATTTTTAATAGAGCAGGCAATGTGGATCTTGTTCAGCTGGTAATCTTATTAAAAATGTAGTTGCTTTATAATTAAATCTTCAATTCAGTAGATTTGGTGTTGTTTCATCATATTTTATTGAAAGCATTTTATTTAATACTTCAATTTATAGACTACTATGAATAGATAGCATTTGTAGCAAAACATTTAGAAAATTCATGGTAAATTCATCCTACTCAGGTTCAGGAATGAAAGGTAAATGTCAAGGCTTCCTGAGTATAATTCCCCAGAATTTGCCTTCTTTTAATGTTCACACATATTCATCTCAGCTGAATTTCCAATTATTTGAATATTAATCTGCTATCCTGATGGTTTCTGTTTAGTTAAATTATGTTGTTTCATATTTTTCCAGATGTTCTTTCCACAGTGTACACCCATCAAAACACCCTGAAAAATTCTGATTTCTTACTGTTAGCAAACAAATAGGCTCAGTGTTTATAGAAGCACCTGTTTATATTAACACCAGATCAGAAAATCTTAAAACCTGGGGTCTGTAGTCCAGGCACTAGTTGGTCCAAGCACCTACTGAAGTCCACTGGCACTCAAAGTAGCACTTAAAAAACTTGATACTTAAGCACATTACAAATCTGCTGAATGTTCTTACTTACTTAGTATGAAGTTACAGTATTTCATCATCAGTAAGTGTAATTGAGTGTAGTGTAGGGTCCAGTTGTTATTGTGATTGCTGTATGAATTAGCTTGAGTATTTTGATGTGATCATTGTCTTCACTTACAAAATCTGTATTTATTTTTGCTCTGAGTTTTTGGCTTATACCAAGAATTGCCTGCCTGCTCTTACAGAACTGCTGTAACTGGGTATCCAGCTCTGAGCCCCTGGACACATCAGTGGAGTCCATGCTGCCAGACTGTCCCCGTGTCTCTGCAGGTACACCCGTTTGTTTGCAATAAACCAGTGCACATCTTTATGCCCAGGAGCAGCTTGTTCATTTAAAAATGCATTTGGTTCCGATGGCATATTAACCCTTCTACAGCAAGATGTGACTGAAAGTGTATGGCTGATGCTATTTTATGTAGCTACTCTTAATTTTTTTTGCTTTGTGGGACTTGAGATCTCTTGTCTACTTGTTGCTTGAATTTTTTTAGTCGTTCTCTCTGTTTAAGTAATTAGTGGCATTATATGTAGGAGTCTAAGAAAAATGATAGTGATATAGCAAGAACTGGGAAATTTATCATAGGTCCTTGAATAAATATCTTAACTCTATGTAGGCAATAATGTTTTAAAGAAGTACATTAATGAAAGTTACAATTAAAATAAATGAGCCACTTTCCTGAATGCTGATCAGTGAAAGTCTAGTTTACATAGCAAGTGATTTGCAGCATCAAGGAATGTTGATGTGAGTTTTCTGTTGTTTTGCACACACTCAGCTATGCTTTTTGATTATTGAATGATAAGTCACAAGAAGCACGTGAAATAATACAGAGACTTTAGTTAAATGTGTAATAATTCCAGAAAATAGATGTAGTCATCAATGTTCAAGGAAAATCTCCAATCTCTGTAGGAAAGTAATCTGAAATACATAAAGCAGTTACTGAACTTTCATGCTTGATTATCAGGTTTCCTAAAAGCTGTAGGTAGCGTATTTCTGTAGAATACAAAACCCAAGTTCAAAGGAAGACACAGCTTATACAATATTAATTTAAAAGCTGAAACAATATTTGACCTTGCTCTTTGGGATGCAGTTGTTCATTTGGCAAGTTAGTTTTGTATCTGTCTGCATTTGTGAGGTTGTTAGTGAGACCTAACCTTGCAGATGAAACTGAGTTTACTACAGTATATTTATAGCACTACTTTGAGAGCTCACAACAACCAGAGATTTTAATTACATTTCTGCTATGTTTGGGGTCTCACCATGCAGATCCTCAGCTCTGTAGTGACAATGCAATAGAACTGACATTGTTCTTTCATGCTTTGGAAAACAATATATTAGTAAAATTTTCATAGATTCAACATTCATTTAGCAACCTTTTACTCTTTTAGGGGAGATTACTGCAGTTTAAAAGAAAAATATTGTTCAGGAGTGGAATTCTTTAAAAGAAGATACACTTCCAATCTATGATGTCTCTGTTGCTCTTGTGAAAGAGTGCATGTTATACTTTGGCCATTTTCGTCAGGTAAATAAGGGCTTGGATAGCAACTGGTCAGTATTTACTGTCCACTGGCCAACACTGAAAGTCATCCATTAGAGTATCTTTTCCTTTTCTTTGTATTCACCTAAAAGGTATTCTATAAAAGAAATCCTAGATGTTACTTAAAAATCAGACTGATGCTTCATTAAAGCTGTAAATAATAAGTCTTGATTTTACATTTCTGTTGAAGACAGGTCACAGTGGCCTTAATGTTTCTGCATCACTTAATGAATTAACAAGCTGCACTGAAGTTGTAGAAGAATTAGTTTAAATGGGGTAGGATTTCAGCCAGTAAAACTTGGGTGTTTGTTTTTAGTACATACATTGAGATAAATTGAGATCACTAATATTTTAGATGTTCTCAACAGAGATTTTTGGTAATGATTTAATGTAAGATAACAATTTCCAGTTCATTGTAATATAAATATAGTTTAAAATAGTATAACTTAAAGTGACTGCTCCTGAATTATCAGTTTTCTCACATGTTTTTGCTTATATTTCTTGTAATCATCTCAACTGTAAGACATTTACAAAAACCAAGCAAATAATTTGTACAGTGTCCTTATATGAGCAACGGTATAAACCTGCATTAGGGTAATATGTAATAAATTTATTAAATATTACTAGATGTAGGAGTATTATTGTTTAATGTGAGAGATTTTATTTCACTCTTTTGAGAATTGCGGTACTGAAAGAGCCCACTCTCAAATCCTGGCAGCATTGCCCTTGGTATTTCAGTGAATGACAATGAGAGCAATCAGAACAATGACAGATCTTTTAAAATAAACCTTTTGCAGTAGAAAGACTCACTTCTGTGCTTGGAAGCCCATCTTTTATCACTGTTTGCACTAAAAATAAGTTCAGAAATAACTGCTTCATGGTCACGTCTCTTCAGCCAGCTTTTCTAAAAAGGGTCTGATATTCAGCCATTCAGTACACTGAGTTTTACAGGCAATCGTAGTTGGTGAGCAGTTTCTACTGAAATTACCTCACAGTCTCTTGCTTGCTTTTCCCTTAAAATCACTAGAGACAAAATAAATGACCAACAAACTGGAAAAATTACTTGTATTTCCAGATAGAGTTGTTAAAGCTTTTGATTAAAGAATTATTAAAGAATTAAAATGTTTGCCATAATTTATTCACATTTGATTACAAAAAGGAATTCATATACTTTAATAATTAAAATTGATTTTTTTAAAAAAAATTATTAATTTTTTTAATACAGAAAAATCCATTGTTCTTTCTTGTGGCAAAAGGTACTTTGTGGGTCCCACTTCAGGGTCTTTCACCCATGTCTCAAGGATTTGGTTGCATGGTGGTATCATAGTTTAATATCTTGCGGCATCTTGGTGGTGGCATGGACAATGAGTTTGAGTGCACCCTCAGCAAGTTTGTCAACAGCACCAAGCTGTGTGTTGCAGCTGGCACATTGGTAAGAAGGGATGTCACCCAGAGGGATTTTGAGAAGTGAGCCTGCAGAAGAGAAATGGACCCCATGAAATTCCACAAGTCTAAGTCAACATGGGTCATCCCAAGCACAAGTACAGCCTGTGTAGACAGTCAATTGACAGCAGCTCTGAGAAGAATGATACACAGCTGTTGGTTGACAAAAAACTCAACATGGCCTGCCAGTGTGTGTTTCCAGCCCAGAAAGACAACTGTATCCTGGGGTGTATCAAAAGCATGACCAGCAAGTCAAGGTGGTTGGTTCTTCCCCTCTGGTCTACTGTGGTGAGACCCCATCTGGATATCTGCATCCAGCCCTGGGGGGCTCAGCACAAGATAGATGTTCCACTGGAGCAAGTCCAAAGGAGCCACAATGATGCTTAGAGGGGTGGAGCTCCACTCCCATGAAAACAGAGTGAGAGAGTTGTTCAGCTGGGAAAAGAGAATGCTCTGGGGGACCTTGGAGCACCTTCCAGTATCTAAAGGTGGTACAAGAGAGCTGGTGAGGGACTTTGGACAAGGGCATGGAATGATAGGCTTCAAACTGACCAAGGGCAGGTTTAGATGAGCAAATACAGGAAAGAAACAATTTGCTTTGAGGGTGGTGAGGCACTGGGACAGGTTTCCCAGAGAAATTGTGGATGATATATCCCTGAAAGTGTTCAAAACAAAGTTGAATGCAGTTTTTTGAAAGTTTGCACAGATTCCCCTGACGGGGGATTTGGAACTTTTAAAATTTCTATCTCTTACCCTCTTTGCTTTCAGCTGTAATTAAGAATCTCTGTTAGACTTGAGGTTATCTTCTGTCTCAGTCTTAACCTACCTCCTAATGGAATCAAATCAAGATACGTGTATTCTCTCTTGGAGGAGATGGATCCATCTCCCGTCTAAGACATAAGATAATGTAGGGTGGAGAAAGATAAGACTTCAAAGTGGTCTGCACATTAAAGGTATTCACATAAAATGGAGTAGGGTTGGGAGTATTTCTGTTTAGGAGACTGGAGATAGCTTGGGATTTGACAGAGACAATGGAATAGTAATGCAAGTTGCACAACATTACTGCTAACTGTAGTTGTAGTTCATGCTGTGTCTGTGAGACCTGACAACATTTCTCCTAGTTCTCCTAGTTCTGGAGCAGGGAGTTCAGAAGTCATCTTATTGGAGCAGCTAGTGGGCAAGAACAGCTGAAAACAGGGATGCAAGAAAGCAGATCCACGGATCTGTGTTCATCTCTGATGCTGTTCAGGATCACTTTGAAATCACTTTGATTTCAGGATACTGGCTTGAACTTCAGCCCAGGAAAGCTATTGTGGTAAATTTTGCCAGGTAAACATGTCCTTCGTTTTCTTGAATCTTGTTTGTACTCCTTAGCCCACATGTTTCTTACCTTGAAAGCTTGTTATTTAGGAGACACAATAAAACTTCTCAGTATTTTGCCAAAGTGGGTATGCACCAACACTCGTTTAAAATAATCAAGTGAATATGTTATAACGTTACTAAAATGAATTGCCTAATCAAATCTTTTTAAAGCCTTCCTAGCTGGCCCCCAAATCACTAGTTATTCTGTTAACATTTGCAGCCAATGTAGTTAAAACATTGTGAAATAAGGAGATTGTAACTTAGAAGACAAACAATGGAATGAAACACTGGAATAAAGAAAGGTTCTATTTACAGAAGAGCCTAAACTTGAATATATGTCTATGTAATAAGAGAAAAACTGCAAGAATTAATTCATACAGCTGAATAAAGTAGCCTCAGTCTGGTAGAAGAAAAGCAAATGCAGTTTTGGAGGACAGGTATGAAGTGTGCTGATGGTGCTTTTGAGTGACTCTTCAGATAGTATTTTCTGGTACTAAAAATCAAGACTGAACTCTGTATTATATATCAAATGTTTAATTTCAATTAGGTAAGCCAAGTACAACTTTTTTTTGTGTGTTTTGTTTTGTTTTTTGCCTTGAAATTAGAAAATATCATTAATATGATGTAATTCACTGACAGACCAGGTGTTCAGCCTTTGTAGGCCCCACCCACAAGCGCATTGACTGATCAGGTAGAGCCCTTGTTGCAAAGCTTGTGTTGATACTTGGGAATCAATGAATCACCCCTTGGATTATGGCAGTGGTAGTTTCTGTTGGCTTTGCCTAATAAGTGACTCCTGCCTTCTGTTTTACAAGTTCAGTTGTGTATTTCCACAGAAAAACCTGTCTATCTGCAGATGTACCCCATGCTGAGCAGTTCCTGGGGTTCAGACAGGAGGCTCTCCAGTGAGGTCAAATGGACTCTCCAACACCACAGGGTCTGTGTGCAGGGGTAATTGCATTAGTGAGGCTTGTGACAGCTGTAGGGAAGGATTGACTTATTTCTTCCTGCTTTTTTTCTTCAGCTCTATTTGCACCACACTGCAGTTCCACTCATACACATTTATGCATCTTGCTCATGAAAAACAAGGCAGAAGGAACCATAAACTATATTAAGTGCTGAGACAATATCTGGCTCATACTCTTAGCAGCTTTTAGACCAGTGTACTAATGTTTCTCTTTTTTTTTGTAAACACTTTAATCAGTTTAATGAGGACTGTTCTGGGCTATTTTCTGATATTAGTGTTTCATGATCAGGGATAGGTGCCCAGCAGTATTAAGAAATAGGAACAAAACCATACACTTTTTAAAATAAAGTAATTAAGCAATTTTTCCATTCTGTTAAAAACATTATTTCTGCATTCACTAGTCATTCATGGGTATTAATATTACATTAAGCAGTGTTTACTGTAAAGCTCTTTGCATTTTATGTCTTCATGTGCATGTAGTTCTGTCAATAAAAACTTTGGGTTTCAGGAGAAAAGACAAAATGCTGAAGCTTTTTTGTCAATATGGCAGGTTCCTGTGTCTAGCTGCATGTTAATTTAAGATACTTTCAAGATTAATACACCAGTGGAGGAGTGCAGGAATCTGCAGTGTGAAGCTTGCTTCGTCAACCATTCTCACGTTAACATTTTCATCTGCTGCTAAAACTGGTCCTGCACTTTTATTTCTGCTGCTGTACTTTGTCTGTCAGGGACTAGAAATTATGGTAACTTTGAAGCTGACTGTCTTAGCCACAGCTCTGGCAGTTGCTGAACTAAGTCCTGCTTTAACTTACATCTTCTTAGCATGGAAGTAAGTAGCTTTTTCCCTATTCCTGATTCTTCAAAGGAGCTCTGCTTTTATGCTCCTGCTCAGTCTCAGGTGTTGCAGATATCTTTTCATTTCATGTGTAAACCTAGCTGGATGTGAGCTTCTATGTTGTGTTTAGAGTAGCTTAGCTCTACAGTGCTTTGGAAAGGACAAAGACTATTGAGACCTGTTGAATAATATTGTAGATTCTGTTCTGGAGTGCCAAAGACTCAAAAGCGAACATGAAAATGTGAATTGAAGGCATTGACTTGAATTGCCAGATGTTGCTTGTGTCAGTGAGTTCAATAACATTCATTTACTTCAGGCAGTACTGATACTGGAGAAACAGTTCCATCAAAATTTATTCTTGTACTCAAACATATCTATATATCATTTCAATTTTTCAGACTAGAGTGAACTAGTTAGTTGTTGTCCCTGAGGCTGTCTTCGTGGTAATAATGAATAATTTAAAGTATTACAGTCAGATATTTCCTATTAAGTGTTTGACAACTATTAGACTGCTGTGGCTGTTGCTTCTGATGCTACTCAATGTATCCCTGCTATCTCATTAGTGCTTTACATAGCCTTATCTGTCTGCACAATGGCAGGTCTTACTCCACTGCAAACTTTCCTAGAGCTCAACACCTGAAAGAAGGTATTCCCTGAGAGATGTCCTCCAAAATTCAATAAAAAAATCTTTATTTGTATTGACATAAAATCCAAAACAGTTTTCACATATCAGCTTTCATTTTCTG